AAGAGAGAACGGACTCTCAGCACTCAAATTTGACCAACCTACGGAATCAGCTGCCACACGCCCCCAACGCTAGCCGCGAGCGACAGCTTCGGTCGGCTGTATAGACTGAACCACAAAGCCAGGCCGCTGAAGCCCCTTGAAACTTGCAACCCAGGCACTCCGAAGGGAAAGCGTTCTAACTTCTGACCCTCATCCATCAGCTCGAAGGATGTCGCAAGGTTTTTCAGGTCGTACCCATACCTAAGCACACACAGATGTGGGGCGCGTCGCTAAGTGCCTTGACTGGACACTGGAGGAAGTTTGTGGGATTCAAGGGAAATGGATCAGATCGACTGAAGTCAGCGACCATAGGGCAAAAAGAGCTTTCAAAGCTGCCGCAGGGACGGCCTGATGACTGATGTATGGTGGAGAGCAGCGGTGCTTGAAGCAATCATGGCAATAGATTAATGCGACTAGCACCATCACAGCCTGTGCTTGCCCCCCAAAAAAAGTGGTGGGCTTACCATGATTACTGTGGCTATGTTCGTCCTACAAGCCTCTGGCCAATACTCTGCCAGGCCAGTCTGGTTTCTTGCCAGAATGCCCGGTCACGACCGGAGGAGCTCTGATTTGGTCCTGCCAGCTAATACAGGCTTCCAGTTCAATACTAGGTAGCAAGTGGAAGCAGTTCCTCCGGCACTGGCAGCGCCACGGTGTGGAGGCAGGCAGCCGCCTGCCAAAAAAGCTCTGCGCAGCAATGGCAGAACAAGGCTCAAGATCACTCAAGTCAAGCAAGAACACAGCCTTGACATCTATCTGCTGGCCGCCGATATTCAGCCCCTTGACGGCAAAGGTTGGTGCCTGTTGTTTTGCGAGCAGAGAAATACGTGAAAAGCTTTTTTGGACTGCGGTGTTGCTCAGCTCCTGGCTTGCCAGGGATCAATAGGAAATGCTGATGCTGGCATATTAGAAACCAAAGAGGGAAGTGACCAGGGGTTCTTTCTGGTGGAATTTATGGGGCTGTTAACGAGTGGAAACTCAAAGACGGCCGAAGCATGACACAAAGGAATATCCAAATCAAATGCGCATCAAGGAACGCTCTGCTTCGCGCACTACAGAATGGTCTTTGATCAGACGTGGTGAGCAACCAACGAAAACCACTTGCCCACAGCTTCCGCCATGTTCTTAGCCATCCATTCTTGGAGGGTATGAACTTACAAAAGCATCTCCTGACCGCTTCAGCCCATGCATGGAGAAAGAAGCTCAAAAATGCCAAGCGGCCAACTTTGAGCGCTCGTAAGCTTGCGCCGCCTCCTTCTGGGATGTGTCCATCCTTTGCCTGGCAGCGTCCGGTGCAGTTGTCAGTCGGTGCCACAGCACTGCAACTTATAGTGGATGGTAGCAGAGCGAGCATGGCAGCATGGCCAAACTGTGTCCCAACGTGGATATGGTTCCACAGCTGGAGCGGTTGATTCATGAAACCGGTTGCTTGCAATTGGATCCTTAAGCGGGGTTCTCCATGCCGGGCATCCCCTTCCTAGGTGCCTGATAATTGATGATAACATTGCATGAGAATGGGTAATCGAGGAATCTTCACTTCAGGCCCCTCCAGGCTTCAAGCCTCTCCGCGCCCTCCCAGCTGCCCTTCGCGGTGTCGTGAATTCGAGCTAGAATCAGCCTCATCTTTGCTGCATCTTCGCTCCCGAATCTTCGCGTCACAAACCAGTCTGGACATCAAAGCAACTTCCTCCAATCACCTCCAAAATCCTTCTGAAGCAACAAGATCACGTAACGACACACAACAGCCAGTAACGTCAGTGATGCTGGAAGCTAGGTTGCCTACGTATCTGCTTCCAGGCCCCGGAGCTCGCAGCCTTCTGTCTTCAGCCTGTCCAGACTGACATCTCTTCAGGGTAGTTTGAAACTGACTTCTGGCTAGACTACAGTGTAGAGCCTTGAGACACAGAGCCAATGCCCACTTCTGATTGCAGGACAAAACTATGCTGCACAACATCTGCAGTGGACCTGCATGCACTTTAAGCGCAGCCCCGAAACCAAAGGTGAAGGCAAACTGACACAAAGCTCAGTCAAGTGCATGTGCCGATCGAAGGTGTAGTTGTGAAACACTTTCTTCCGCGTTGGGTCCTATCGAGGTGCACAAGTTGCTTGAAAGCCACGCTGCGCCGCCCTGACAAGCAATACTCGCATCACGCAGGGAGGGCTCCTGAAAGTAGTCGCGGAACATCTGCAGCAAACCTCCACGCGACGGGCTCCAATGCAGCTGCACATTTGAGCATGCATAACTACATTATGAGATTACGAATTCCAAAATTTTGCAGAGTCGCGAGGGAGCAGGACCAGACTGACTGACTGACTGACTGACTGATTGACTGCTGCCTGGGTCTGAGTCTGGCCCGACGTTGTCAACCAGAAGACGTGGTCCTGCACGGGATCTCTTCACGGATCGATACGGGCACCCACACTTGCGAGCCCACATAAAGAAAGGACGCCGTACAAAACGACAAGTTGCGTTTTAGTGTTCTGGAGCACTTCATGAAAATTGCGCCTAACAGCACCTGGCGCACTCACACACTCGGAATCTGTGTGTCAGTGCCTCCCAATGGCTCACATCAGCACCTTGTGGATAAGGTTGTCGATGCATACTCCAACCATAAACCCTGTGTTCTGCACATCTTCACATAGAGCACGGTCCATTTCCGAAGTCAACGTCATCGCCGCAGTAGGCCGTAGCACAAACGACGCGACTGAGCCTGCTCTGCGAAAGGCCTCACATGGAGATGGAAATTGCAGAGCGAAGGGTGCAAACGGGCCCCTGAGCCTCCCTAGCCGGCTCTCCTTCCAGTTCGCAACTTGAATCCTACCAGAACTGTGCCTATGTTTTAAACCGAAGCTGTCATGCATACCAAAAGCATCAAAGGCATTCAAGAGGCTGGTCTCTCTTCTTCTACCACCTACAGAAACCCTTGCATTCGCCTGGAAGCGCAGCCCCGAGCTCGCACAAGTCCGCATTGTGGTCTCTTCTTCTTCGTCTTCTTCTTCTGGTCTCTGTCTTACCTCCATCTCCGGGGCTGGGACTGAGATTCAGGTTCACCTGAGAGCGCAAAATGTCTGCTTGGTTGGGTGGCGTCTGATCTGTCATTCGCAATGGTGATGGCTTAGACCTTGAGCTAGGGCAAAGGGGAGTTCTATCTCGGGCTCTGACTCCTGCGGTCTCCGTGTCCCAGGCGACCACAGCATCAGCGCACCTGCTGCAGGCACAGCCAGCTGTAGGCGGTGTGAGCTTGTCCAAAGGGCTACACATGCCCTACTTCAACAACTAGGCGGTTGGGTCACTCAATGGGAGCGGACCTGTTCAGCACGGAGAGCGCTTTCTCAGCCGAAGCTGCATCTGTAACGAGTGTGACACCATCGACCTTCCAGCAAGCAGAAATGCAGCTGGCTCAACAACAAGCAACCTTCCTAGGACTCAACGGATTGTCTCTGAGAAAGGCCTTCTCAGCCTGTCGGAAGTTGCTGGTTGTGGCAGTGGCCTGCAGCTGCTGCAGCATGCGTATTGAAGCTGCATGGGCTGAGAGCAGAAGTCTCCGAGCAGGTGAGGAATTCAGGAACAAAAAGTGCTCTCTTCGAAGCATCTGGTTCTGGCCGACCCTCACTGCATCTCGGAGGAAATGAGCACAAGGTCTGCGAAAGACCTCAGCACTGCTTCAAATGTCTTTGCTGAGGAGCCTGCGCAATCTTTGCGCAGATTCATTACATGATTTTCTCATATCTTCAGCTTCTGAGCAGTGTCCACGGACCACCGAAACCTCTGAATCCGAGTTGAAGAAGGAAACATGCATGATTCTTCTGCGTCCAAAGATTTCACCTTGAATCCCATTAGGAATGCGGGCCTTCCAGCCTCGCAGCCCCTGTGCACGGCGCATAAATTCTCTGTTGGCAGGGTGATCTTTCTCCCCTTTGCTCTAGAACCTGCCCCCTTGCACCCGTGGGGGTACTGCCCAAAGCCTCAACACCACCCCATTTCAGACACTGCCCCTTTTGCAGCCAATTTTGACGCCGTTCTGCGCCAATTGTTAAGCAATCTTTTGAAAACTTAGCCGGAAATTGGTGGCAAAGCTAGCAGCAAAATTAGCTCTGTCTGTAGACGTAGTGAAACCGGGCAGCACCACTAAATTTGCTTGCCCCAAATACTCACCTCTTGGCTGCATGCCTGTCCGGACATGGCAACGATGAGTTTCCAAGGCAAGTTTTGAAGCAAGGCTTTGGAAATGCGAGCTTTGACCGAAACATGTGGGCCTGGGTGCCTCCGACGTGGAAGGCTACCTGGTTCTGGCATGGATGGGGCCGGAGGAATAGGAGCCCAGAAAATTTGGACCCGACCGTGCGAAGCGTCCAGGTGGCAAAGAATCCAAGAAAAGTAAAATATGCAAAAATTGGCACTGCAACCCTCCAACTGAATCGAGCACTGTGCCGCTTGCATGGCTCCAGAGCAGTGAGCTCTGCTGCCAAACAACGCAAGCAGTCGTTGCCAAGTACCGACTGCCAACGCCAACAGCCTCTGCTAAGGGTCGGGCAATCATTGCGGCAGCGACCAGATTTCATCCAGCTACTCAGGCAGCCTTTCTATGATATTATCCAGTGTAGTCTTGCTAACTTCCAACTTCCAGTCCATGACAACCATCAAAGCTAGCGAGCAAAACCCATCTTGTCTGATCACGTCTGAACGCAGCTGCCTCCATCTGAAGTTTTGCTTGGGCAAACCCTGACTGACATGTTTCTACGCCCTTTGTACCATAGTTCGGTGCCGTGTGTTCTCGGTGCTACAGCTAGCGAGGACCTCGCCCCTCGGCCACTCGCTAGCCAATCGGTGTGCAGGGCCGCGCGAGATTCAAACTTCTCTTGTTGCAGGCTTGCCTTGCATTTGGCGAAAACATAAATCAATGAAGGATACCTAATACCTAACATATGCCAAAATTAAGGACCTCCACTCAACTCGGCTCCTGGAGGAAGACTTGACCTTCCAGCCTGGAGTCACGTGGTCAAAGTGGACGCTGCCTGCCTCGCCCTGCACAGAATGCATTTGAATGTGTGCGCGCGCTTCACGCACAATGGCCTCTGCTACATCAGTTCCCGAAGTGGACTGCAAGCGCCCTGTCTGCGAGGAAACCTTCAAAGGCCACTGAATCATTGAATAGTTAGTGCCCGCAACCACTATGATCCCTGCGCTGGCCAAGTGGCCTCTGCGCCCATAGCATCACGAAGCACTGCTTCAGCCAGATCCCGTGTGCCGTGCATGGGCTGGCTACCTGAGTAAAGCGATGAGTTTGAATATCGTTCTTAGCCATCTGCTCCAAATTCCAAACACCCTGATGAAGTTGTCCGCGGCTCGCGATCTGACTAATTACAAGCATGATGAGGCCCGCGCTCCGCTTCTGCGTGCTCGTGTTCGAGTTGCTACGGGGCAAGGTGCCTGACCTTCGGCAGAACAGAATCTGATGCGGGCTGTCTGGCTCGGCTGGCATACCGCTATTGCGTTTGGAAATTTGGAAATGGGCGATGCTCAGAATGCCACCTCTCTGTAACTGTAGGTGCTACTATGTCCCTTTGCTTTTGCTGCAGCGCGCGTTGCATTGTGAAAGGGTTGCTCACTTCCACCTCACATCTTATCACATCTTCTTCAGCCCGAGCCCATTCTGAAGCAATATAACTTGCGTTACGATGGCAGCACTTAACTTGAGCACCCTTGGCTGCACCTATGGACCTGGGGTGTGATGCCGGCAAGCGCCAAGCTGCCCGGCTGGGACTTGCTGTGCCGATCTTCTGGCGGGCTGGTGCCTCGCACGATCAGTACATGTCACCGTGCACCTGGATCCAACGGCGCGATCAGGGAAGCAGCAGGTAGCGGCGTCTGAGCGAGCCATCACATGTAATTTTGAAGTGACCTCCCAGATCCAGGGCATCGCCAAGCACCTTAGGAACGTCCATGACTGCAAGCAATTTCGCAGTATTCCTCGCAGCAGGGCAAGTCAGCTAATTAAGTTGCACCTGCCTGATCTAAAACAAATCAGCCTTTCACGCTTTCACCCTGTCTCTGTGGCCGGCACGTCTCGCAATGCATGGTTATCATCGGAGACACCAAGGCCTGGCTCAAGGTCCCCGAAAAGCCAGATGCGAGTTTCTACGCGTGCTCACGACTCAGGACTTCCACCTCCAGACCGTTGTCCAAACTTTTGAGAGACTGCTTTGACAGCCTGACAGGCCAAGTCTTGTCCAACAGCAAATACCCAGCCAAGTCAAATAAACGTTCAGAGCAGAGTTCGGCACCTCGTGAGTATCCTCATTCAACACTGGGACCTTCTTTGAAATCTGCAGTGCGTCTGTCGCCTGCGCTGACCCTTTCGTGTGGTTACTGGCTAACGTTGCTTGTTGCAATAGAGACAGCGATAGCTTTTCTAAGATTTGTGCAGCGTCTTGTGGAGAGCGTTGGTTTTAAGGCTTCTCTGTGCAGCAGCAATGCACTTCTGAGCGCAGCAATTGCACAAGGCTTGCCCTTAAGTCTTGCAGTTTAAGGAACAAATGGACGAAGCAGGCATTGTACCCACTGAGCTCACTGCTGTCAGGTTGAAGCTGACCTCACCAGAGCCTTGGAGCCATCAAGCCGGAACCTGGATCCTTGAGAGCAAAAGCCTGCTAAACTGCAGATTTGGGCTGGATCGTGGATGGAGAACTGTTGAGAAGCCATCGTTTGAAAAGATCGTTTTAGCTCAAGATTGAGCTTCCCCGCCATCGGATGCCGGGATCTTGGCCGCAAGCCTACAGGCGCATGTGTGTCTGTGCCTTGGACATTCCAATGCCACATTATCAACAAGCATACACGAGGCACCTAAACTATTTGCAAGTGCTCGTAGCAAAGCCAGCAGTCCCTGCATCACGGCAGCACCCCAACCAGCCTATCAGAAACAGCCGTGCCAATTTCGGAAGAAGTCAAACTGAATGCCAGGGAGTCATCTTCGACCTGTGTTGCATCTGCACATTGGACATTTACCTCTGGCCCAAGGCTGCTCATCTCAACCCTTTAAGCAGAGCTCCCTGACAAGCTTATTGCATGACATGCAGGACCACTCATGTATTGAGGATCTGTCCACCTTCTTCTCGGCTTTGGCAGCCAAACTACTTCGTACCTGTCAGGGCACTACATGCTACCACCCCATCACCCATTCAGAATGTCTTGTGCTGGGAGCTATGCTTTGCCGTTTGGATCAAGGAGCTACACTCTTCGTGGCCACAGCTTTGCACCGGTTGCATACTCTTCTCTGAGCCGCGGACCTGGCCAGCTTTTGGCAGATTTTCTGCTGCTTCTGCACGCTTTGGTGATTTGGCTGCAAGCCTTGGCTTCCACTAAGAATATTTCAGCAAATGTGTTTTTTGGAACGCGCAAAAACAGCCAGTTTGAGGTCGGAACTCGGCAATGAGTTCGTCCACCGCGGCCTCTAGAAGTTCATCACACGCATTTTGCTTGGAATCCTTCGCCGTCGCCTGTGCACTGCAAGATCCTGCAAAGATGAGGGCCCCACAGTGTTGACGTCGATGGCTTTGGCCTTTTGGGGGTCCTGGCCACTGTGGACATGGCAGGTGTCGGATGACAACGTGCGACTCTTGTTGCTGGCTGCAGCCTCAAGCTCCTGAATAATGGACGCCACGATGACCGCACCTCCCAACACAATTTTTGTTGGGAAGCTGAGGGGTCAAAGCGGCTGGGTCTTGACATGGGAGCCCTGATGTACCCCTGATCAGGATTGCATGAAGTTTAATCGAAGCAAGATTTGCATAGGTTGCAAGCACCCGGCAAACTTCCCACAAGATCATGCCAGCTCGCCAGACCGTCAAAAAGAATCTCGGCTGAGATGGGGACTTGTTTTCAGAGAAGCCACGAAGACTTGCACAGACGGGGCACGCATGACCTGCCAGCCCCATGCTGCGAAACTTCTAAGTAGTCCAGCGGCCATGCTGCAAGCTTCATCCAAGTCGTAGCTCCTGCAGCACAGCACAGGCCTCCGTCATTCGTCCCCGGCCCTTCGGGTCCACCACTAGCATCTTGGCCTTGCTAACCACAAGACAATCAACACCCTCTGCGCCTTTGTGATTGTGGCAGCGTTTGATGCCAGTAGGGATTACAGAGAGGGTGGTAACTGGGTGCTAGAAAAACTATGAACCTCAACTTAGTGAAGCCCCTTGGGGGTAGAGTGTGTTAGACAAACCTAGGAGAGGCTAGGAGAGCTGAAAAGAGCGCTATCCGAACAACCCCAAGCTGCATGAGCAAGCTTTGCGAATATCTCGTTCACACACCTGCATCTTTATTCCACCTTCAAACCTGAACAGACGAAGCTTCTGCAAGCTTTTCTAGTGTCCCACTAACTTACCGCCCCCTCCTGTTTGGCTCTGTTTGATTGAATTTGACGAACTTAGATTGTATCTGGGGCCCCGGTCCAAGACTGGCGACACGGCGTCTTCAAGCACATGGCCTCCTGGCCTCAAGCTCACAGCCGCAAGGCGCTAAAATGACAGACCTTGAAAAATCCAAGGGCTTGGATCAGAAAAGCCATGCACCGCAGCATTCATTTTCTGTGCTTGACTTGAAGGGGATCATAGTTTGGATTCGCCGGACAATCGTTCTGTTCCCCGCTTGCCGAGCGCGTTGTGCTGTGCCCGGCATGAGCATGCAAGTATACAAGGCCGGGCTTTCCCACTCAACAACCTCACTGGCTTGCAGCATGCTGCCTCACAGCATGCCAGCACAACCTGCAAGTCTTTGGCAGGGCGCCAACAGTGAAATCGATCACGAACCCCGATAGGTTGAGTAGCCGAAAGGTGAAATCAGCAATGGAACATGATAGTGGCGCTCGTCTTGAATTTCGAAGACGATCGTCACAAAAGGGTAGAAGCAGGCTACACCTGTCCAGCAGCACATCTCAAGCGCAACCCCGCTAAAGCAAGCTACCCAATTACAGCGCCACACCAGAATGCGAACCAAGTCGAGCGGAACGTCACAGACGCGCCTTGGGCTTTGAAGTACTCAGAGGTGTCAAACCGAAGCTCGAAGACCTACCCCGGATCAGGAGTGCTTGAGTAGTTCTGAACACATGTTGCGAGATGCTGCAAGTATCGAAGGATTCGAGTGGGTTTCTAAAAACTTGGAGCCCTTCTTTGGAAACCCTACAACAACCATCATGCAGGAGTAGGAGGCTCCGTCTGAGCGCTTGGGAAGCCTCCCCCGGTACCAGCCGAAGCCCTTCAGCCAGGTCCGCAAGGCGCCCGTCAGAGTTGGCGCGGGCCACCTGCAAAGCACATGCGATGATGTCGGCCGAACTAGAGGCTCTAGAAGCCATATGCGTATCCCGAGGACTGTCATCGGCAATCGCATCCCAACTCATTGTTTTTTGGCATCTCACGCCTTCAGCAGCTTCCAAGTTGTCTCGCCGGCGGCATCTTCGCCCTCATCGCATAGGTTCTGAACTCTCAGGCTGGTTTTCTGAACACAAGTTTAAAACATAACATGCACTAGCTCTGGGTCTTGAATGGTGCTGGGCCGACGCCAAGGGCCTCCTTCTTCTTCAGGTGCACTTGCAGCCCGTCTGCTGGTCGACCAGTGGCCGTGTTAAGCACATGTGTAGTGATCGGCCCGGTGGCGGCCATGGATGCTCCCAAATTCAACAAAGCACTGCACAGCAAGCTGATGAACCTGCAATGTTAAGTAGTAGTTTCCATGTTCTTTTCCATTATCCATATATAACCACTATATTTTCTCTATATAATGTAGTGTCATATAGTAGTTTCCATTTTATTTTCCATTATCCCTATATAACCCCTATAGACTCAAACCTCAGCCTCCTTTTCCTCTTCAAAGGCCACGAGGCAAACTACAAACTTTGGAGGTCCACCTTCCTCAGGGAAAGGTCATTGACGCTATATTGGGGTTATGTAGGGATAATGGAAACTAAAATGGAAAGTACTATATTACATAGGGTACTTCGAGGATATATAGGGATTCTGGACAAGAAAAATGGAAACTACTATATTATAGAGAGGTAATATACGGGTTATGACATGTTGTACCTGGACCATGCAGCGCTTGGGTTTGCTTGCGACTGGGAGCCATAATGCGACAGCTGCGATGTATCCGTTTACAATCTCTATATAACTTCTTGAACCCCGGACCCCAAAATGCTATAGCATAATCCCAGGCTCCATTTCATTTTCCATTTTCTGTTCCACCTGATTCTCCACTATTAAGGGGTAATACCCACACACCCCAGTTTCTTTTCCAGTATCCCTATATATCCCCTACATTTTCTCTATATAATGTAGTATTATATACTGATATAACACCTACATAACCCCTATATTACCTTTATATAACCCCCATTTTATATCACATGATCGGCTCAAGCCGAGGCTGACTGGGTAGCAGGCTTCTGAGCGAGGTGTGCTCCGATTGACTCGAACCTTAGGCGGAGTTAGAGGGATATACAGGCGGGATAATGGAAAATAAAATGGAAACTACTATATTATACTACATTATATGGAGGTAATCTCGGGGATATGTAAGCATAATGGAAAAGAAAATGAAAACTACCAGAGTATCTTGGGGTTGTAAAGAGATAACAGGAGAGAAGATGGAAACTACAATATATGCTATAGTCTAAACTTCTAGTATCCCCCACAATAAGCCCTATAATACTCCCTTACAGCATCCCCTCCTAAGGAGTTTGAACCATGGAATGGTTTGGGGTATAGGGTTTAGGGTGCTGATGAGGATGTCTAGGACATGTAGGGGGGTAAATAAGGTTTAGAGTATCAAGAAGTCTGACATGACAGACCCTAAAGTAATCCCTCGAATGCTTACGCTTTGATGAACAGCACGGCCCCAGGCTGCAAACAAGGTGCCGTATGTATCATAGTACCTGTTAACTTTACAAAGGCCATCACTTAAGAAACTAAAGAACGTATCAAGATCTATTGCTACATTGGAACCTTGAGCGGGACTTCTCCCAACAGCCTGGAGCCTTGCGGAATGTGAGAAGTGGCAAAACCACCCCTGCGTGTTGCTGGATCTACACCCAGCAACTTTAACTCCCAATACCCGTGCAAGATCTCTGGGCGCTTGAGCTTCCCAGAGGAGATTCTCATGATCAGCTCTCCAAGACCTGAGAAGTCAGGGGTCTGCCAAGGCCACTGTACACTTGTCCTTGGTCTAGCGATTGTTATTGCTGACCGGTCTGCAAAATGCGCTGCCATGAAACCAGGGCTGTGGCTTCTTCCCTCAAAGGGTCGCTTGAAGCTTGCAAGCCTTAGAAACTTGCGGCTGAGTTGGAAGCTCTACACGCAGTGCTTTCAGCATAGTTTATCACAACTCTCTTCTTCTTCTGTGGGCTATGCAGCATCAGAGATGCTGCGAGGGCGAACCCCCAGCCCGCACAGTCCGATATCCGCGGTCTTCCCAGGAGGCCCGGAATACTCACCCATTACTGTTTGCAGCTGGCGCAGTAGGGCATCAACCACTGGGTTGTGAGACTTCCCCCACCTCACCTTACACCATGATACAACTGTATAACATCATCCCGTTTCGGTGGGTGGGCTGGCTTGGTCACTCCTCCCCGTCATTGCTCTATTGGCATAACCGACTGTACTGGGGGTGACTATCCTTTGTCCAGGTCTGTCCCATTCTTTGCACTTCTGACAGAGTAACGAGAACAGTACCCCGACACTGTATCCAGGGATCTACTTCATGTTTCGTATTCCTGCATACACTCTGCCACTATTCCTGCATTCACTTTGCCACTTTGACTACTCACCACCTGCGTTTTCCCCTGGACCTGAAATTGGTGTGAGACTTCTCTTGGTGCAGTGTTGTCTTGCTTAGCCTCAGACTAAAATATCACCCTTAGCACTGTGCTGTCTCACCCCCACAATGTCCATGCCTTTCCCGCACCATGTGTGACGCTTCCCTCTGGCTCTTCCTCTTAGCCCTTTCTTGTTTCGAGGGAAATTTTGTTTTGCCCCTTGGCCATTCTGTGGGATTTCAGTGCTTCGCCAGTATGTACACTATTTTCCCGGTTAGGCTTGACTCGTGTGGCTTTGCTACTTTTTCTGAGGACTTACAGTTCCCTGCATCATGTCATGTCTGATACATCACCGCCACTTTCTCACTGCCCCCATGCTTCTCTCACGTGACTTCGTGGTGATATTTCTCCCTAATCGATGTGGCCTCGCCTGATGTCTCCCCACTTCCATATTTCCCCTTTTTTCTCTGCGTTGCCCTCTCTTCACATGCCTTTTTTTGACATTGTCATTCTTTTCCTTTGCTTCTCCCGGGGCTTCTTCCTTTTTTTCCTCCTTCTGAATTGGGTCTTTTTCCCCTTCTGACTTTTCCTGGCCGCATCCTCCCTTTTCCTCTGTCGTCTTGCGCTCCCTTTCTCCTCTCACATTTGTCGTCCACACTGGCCTCCCTGTGTCTTTGTCGTAGCAGTGTTGGAGGTCATCATCTTCCTGTTCTTCCTCCTCCCGTAAATGCTGCTCGATTTGCTCCAATTCCTCCTCGCTGAATTTGTCTTGGCCTTGTTGAATTTCCTTCCTGACTTGCCTTTCCTATTCCACCATTTGGTCTATGTCTATTCGTGCTTCTTCCTGTTCTTGGTGGCTTTGTTGGTACCTGCGTTGGGTGGCTTCTCCCAACAGCTGTGTGGGTTGCTGACTGTCTGCTTCTTCTCAATCGATCTGGGTGGAGGACGATGCTTTCGCCCCTTCACTTATACCCTCCCTTTTCCGCTCCTCACTTGGCTGTTGTTGCTGCACTACTTCCTTTCTTCCCTTTTGGCGTGCATCTTCCTCTTTTCCTCCTCGTTCACTTGACCTCCTTTTGGTGCTTTGCTGCTATCACAACTCTCTCTCTTTCTCTCTCCTTCTTCTTCTTCTTCTTCGGGCTGCGCCGGCCCCTTGCAGGCCGGCCGAGGGACACCCCCGAGCCCTCGCAATGGTCCGTGTGTCGAGGTCGGTACCAGCAAGGGTTCGGGAACGCAAAAATGACCACATCACTGATCCCTCTCTCTCTCTTCTCTCTGAACTAGCTACTAGGCATATCCTGGGTATTCAGGATGGTATTAATATCAAGGTTCAATGTACTGCCAAGTTCAATATGAATACGAGCCCTTGCTATTAGCATTCATACTAGCATGATTAAGCCTGCTGTGCATGTTGGTGCCAGTTGCGAGTTGCGAGTAGTGAGCAGTAAGTCAGGAGTACTGTGCAGTAAATAGTGAGTAGTGATTAGTAGTAATTAGTAGTAGTAGTAGTAGTAGTATAGTAATAGTAGTAGTAGTAGAAGTAGTAGTAGTAGTAGGAGGAGGAGGCTCCGGATACGTTCGTGACGGTACATTTTTGTGGCATTGCAAGGGCCGAAATGCTGTAAATACCAGCACTCGTGGGGTTTAGATGGTGCCAGTTCACTTACGTTTTATCTTGGCTTGTCTGTTTTGACATGTATTGAGCATGCAAACGTTAGCATAATTGACATCGGCTCCAGTCAGAGGCCGGGATGAAACGATCCCTTGTGAAAGGTCGCAATGGCGACAACTGGTGGATGCTCGAAGCTGAACGAAAGGTTGTGCCAGGAAGAAGTATGAAAAAAAACAACATAAGAAGAAACATATGTTTAGGAGCGGTCCCTTTGTCCCTTATGAAAAAACCCAATATAGGAAGAAATACGTCTTTAGGAGCGGTCCCTTTGCCCCTTATGCAAAAATCCAATATAAGAAGAAACATGTGTTTAGGAGCGGTCCCTTTGCCCCTTATGGAAAATCCAATATAAGAAGAAATACGTCTATAGGAGCGGTCCCCTATGCCCATAACATGCAAAAATCCAACATAAGAAGAAACATGTGTTTGATCAGAACTCCTCACACCCTTGGACTAATGGAGCGTGCCTTGGGCTAATGGGGCGATGTTAAGATTAAATCAGAACTCATCACACCCTTGGACTAATGACTAATGGGCTGTACCCTGGACTAATGGGGCGATGATAAAATTCAATCTGAACTCCTCACACCCTTGGACTAATGGGGCGTACCCTGAACAAATTGGGCGATGATCAATGAGAAAAAGCTCCCGAAAAGCCTACTTGAAAAAGCGCGTTTTTCTGCAAGAGGGCCCAAAATAGGCCCGAACGCACTATAAAACGCACGAACAACTCAGACCAACAATCATAAGGAAGTGGATCGGCAAGAAAATACGCAAGTGGACTTTAGTCAAAATTCGCGCGAAACCTCAGTTTCAGTAGGGAGAAGTGGAGAAAATGACACCGTCATGAACGCGACCGTTACCTGGTGGTGGTGGTGGTGGTGGTGGTGGTGGTGGTGGTGGTGGTGGTCGTCGTCGTCGTCGTCGTCGTCGTGGTGGTCGTGGTGGTCGTGGTCGTGGTCGTGGTCGTGGTCGTGGTCGTCGTCGTGGTGATGGTGGTGGTGGCGGCGGCGGCGGCGGTGGCGGCGGCTCTTTCTCGCTATCATTAGAATTCTGCCCTTGGATTTTCCCCGAAGAGTCGACAGGAACGCAGTGACAACACATTGCCAACATACGAAAATGTCGCTTGAGTCTGTCGATGTCAGTCTAAACTGAACTCAACCTAAGGGCGCAGCTCGTACAGTATGACTCCCAAACTCCAAACCTCCAACAGCGGCATGCTGCAACTTGCATCTGCCACTTCAAGCAGTCCTTGTGCTACTAAATCTTTACATCAAAATGCCTAACTGTAACGCTGAAATAAGGTACAAGAATCCGCTCTTGTGATGAGCTTGCCGACAATTCTGACCGAATCGTTTATGGCAGTCTCACTGAGCTGGCGTGCATCGCACGGTGCGCCATACGCCTCACAGCAGACTAATACATTTTAGTTTTATTGAAGCACGGGCTATCTACTTGCAAATGCCAGAAGATGACTGGAAGTCACTTGAAACCCTGCCTCGCCAGCCACGATTTCTGGGGCCTGCGGCTCTGCTGATTGATGCCGATTGCTGGAGCAGTGTCAGGAGAATTCATGATCATGATAGGGTGCTGGCCATGTATGTTGGTGAGCCCACGCACGTCATATTGTCAACCATGGTCGTGCCGGCCATGACCTGAAAGCTTGGGCTGTAACAGGGCAAGCTGCTGATCAGCATCAGCCACAGCACATTTGTGTACACGTTTTTGATGCGACACAACCGGTGCCTTGGCGACTCCAAAATCTCCAAGTTTGAGGAGGCCGCCACTGGCAGACAGAAGCATTTTGTGCAACTGATCGGAACCCATCGAAAAACCGCATGTGAAAGAATTGGCACTCCTTTCGCAGATTTTGTTTTTACAATCGACTGCTAGTCCCCGACCCGCTTTGGTATTCAATGCGGGGCCTGGTCAACATGACGTTGGATGGCTTGAGGTCGCGATGAAGCACGCGATGCCCGTGCACCTGTGGACCCAAAGCAAGCTGCCATTAGTCCTTACAATGGAGGCATTTGCACCCCAGGAAGGGGGCAATCAGGAAGGGTGCAAAGGAGGCGTTTGGATCTTTTGATCTACCTCTTCTGCAGCCAAAGCACATGGGCCACGGCCTCAGGCGCATCACCAGCTTCCACAAGCTACATGTTTGTGATTGTGAAAACTTCTGGGTTGAAGTGGCACCAATGCAATGCCTCAGCGCATCGCCACCACCAGCTGTGAAAAAATTGCAAACAGCGCGGCCACCTGCTGGTTGTCAAGTGGGAGATCACCAAGTGCATTCGGACTCGTCACCCGTCCTCAAAGAGCTTTTCCGAGTCCATCTGCCTGAGCTTACATCACCCAGCTTGCAGCCTTGGTCTACCTTAATTGACCCATGGAGTGGAGCCAGGGCTTCGGCTTCTTCAAAAGCTGCTGGAGGTCCCCAGAGTCCGCGAATTCCATTACCTGGCAAACTGTGCAACTCGTTTGCGTGAGCTGTCTGCAGTGCCCAGATCTGGAATCTACTGCTTTGCTGTTCTTCCATCACTTCTTGGCAAACCCCGGCTTGGTCTGAGTCTGCTGTTCATGGCGGCATGATGCTCTCCGCAAATTCTTCAGGAACAGCAACACCAAACTCCCAGCCAAAGGTGCCAGGCTCAATGACTCATCAAGCTGGATGGAACCATAATAGCGCAGAATGCACCTGAAAACGGGCGTCTTGCATACATGTAGAGGTAGCCTGAAGGCCCTAGATTCAGCGCTTGGACGGATTTGCCAGCGCAATGATGCCTACGCAAACTAGGCAGAAGCTCAGCACCTTCAATCCTGCCTACAAGTACCTCAGACATTCAGGCGTGAATCTGCACAAAACCTCCCCGCATCACCCGCATCATGTCTCAGAGATGGAAGGCCAGGGTGGACGATGCACTTGGCCAGCCATCTCCCGGATTCGACAAAACCAAGGGCCTAATGAATCTTACGTGCAGGCCGCGGCTCAATAGGCCTCCTGTGAAACTAACAGCATGGAGGGTGTAGCAAAGGCAGCTGCTGCTGCACGTGTCTTTGTTGGCATGCTTGCAGCTTCGCACAGGCACGAAGAGCTTCGCTTGATGTTTTTCAACACGCAGTGCCAGGAAACGCTGCGCCGTGGCAGCCACAGCTTTTGAGTAGGCAAAGTGTGTCTTTCTTGTTTGGCTCCTTAGGCTGTGGCATGGTTTCTGAGCATTACATAGGCCAGAATAGAATGTCAGGGTTCCAGGCGGATGCGTCAGCGTCTGCAGAACCTTCACCTGCCCAAGGGCATGGCTTGGCAGAGTGGTTGCTTTCGGCGATCTCCTGGTGGCCTCGCTCCTTTTGTCTCATGCGTGGTCTGTGATGTTTCTTTGGCAAACGGCATGGCTGTCTGTGGCCGGCTAGCGGCCAGAAGATTTGAAATTGAATTCCGGACTCTACACCCATGGTACCTCCGCCAAATGCTCAGCTTCCTCGCCAGCCTCAGATCCAGGCAGCACGTGTCGTGAAACAGCTACGAGCAACACGAACAAATCTTCCTATGGTATAATGCGGAACAGCATGGCCAGAGCATGGCACTCACAGCAAAACATTCTCTGCAACCTCACAGGGAAAGGAACACGCCAAGTACCTTTTGGGCAGCCATTTTGGCTGACGTCAATGCCTTTTCCAGCCCTTTTGCGGTTAGTTGTGGATATTATGCCCCCCTTTTGAAAAACCTACATCATCATGCCCCACACATTTACAAGCACTTCAGAACAACCCTGCGATTGACACCTACCCGTATGCGTCGGCCAAAGCCAAACATGCTGACCAAGGAGGGAACTGGCAGCGCCGTCCTGCCAAGCTTTTTGACCTGACAGCTAGATGAGCACTGTGGCATGCAGGCGCAGTTTGGATGCCACGCCGTAAGGAAGTTGGCTTTTCAATGCCCAACCATCGTTGTGCTCCAGCTACTGCGCCAGGCTGAGTGAACATGCTCTAGCTGCTTTGGTTCGGTTTGGCGTGTCGACACATTCTGTCTTCAGCTTACATAAACAGCAGGCAACGTCTTCAAAAACTTTCAGCTTGCGCACTGTTGGGGAATGTACAGTACGTTTCTGAGCCGAAGACCTTACAGACACTTTTCATAGAGAGCCAACCATGTCTGAGAGGCATGCTGCACAGAGCAAGCCCGTAGACGTCTGCCGCATTAACCTTTGTCTCGCTAGCACCGCAACTCAAATTGCAAAACAAGCACGTGACTTTACTCTGATATCATTGCGCAACTGAGGTGCAGACATATGCTGGAGCTGCTTCAATGTGGTTAAGTGTGTGGCCCATAGCGCTGACAGCTGCTTCAGGCCATGCAAATTACAAGTGTAGCTGGTGCTAGTACTTGGTATAGTTGGAGATGGAAGCCAGCAAATTGGTTTTGCATGTTGCTAGACATAGTTCAGGTGACCTGCCTCGCGGCTGAAAACTTCTAGCTAGCCACACGGGGGCTCATGGGCTTGTAAGTGGGGCCATAATGTGCGCGGGGCTGTAAAAAGTGATGAGGATACCTTTGTCCGACTTACGGTCATGTGCTGTATAGGCTCTAGACTTGGTCCTTATTGCCAGCCCACTTACGCTACACCCATGAGCCTTGAAATCACCTGAGGATCGGACAAGACCTCGCCGAATGCACCGCGACCCAAGTGCCGGAGCTCCTCGAAGTCCTCTCGCAACAACTGCGGATTATCAAAAATCTTCTGGATCTCTATAACAATGCTTGTAATATCTTGGGGGAGCACGGTGGACTTGACCGCAGAAGAATCCGTTTTTTGGAAACATCTGAGGCCCAAGGTCCCCGGGGTCTGGAGAGTCACTGGGCTTTCACAGCAGTTTCACTGGCGAATCTGCTCCTTTGTACACGCCCCGCACTGCACCCTAATTACAAACACCTGTAAGTAAGTCCCATACACCACCAAGTGCACCCTCTGAACAGTCCAATCCTGATATAAACCTCCGAAGGGGTTGCTGCAGTGAAATCGACTACAAGCTTGTAATATGAGCATTTCCCAGAAGGAATCCAAGCGCATGCCGTGCAATTCCTGGTGTCAATCCAAGCGACGTAGAGCTCTACAGCTCTTTCTGTTAGGATATCAGGCGCTGCTGCCAACCACTGTTGCCAACCAATGCTCCAGGCTCGTCAGCTGATTGGGTGCAAGATCTCACCCAGAAGAGCGCATCAAGAATTTGACTGCGGGGAGGACTTTTGTTTGAGTACCTTGCATCTGGATGAACCAGGGTAATTTAGAATAATTTCAATTCCCAATTTAAGGCCATCTCAGCACCATGCCCTAAATCAACCACCATTTAGGGTGAGGTCGGGTGAGGTCGCTTCAAATTGCCCAGATGAACTTGGCTAATTCATGCGGTTCACATGTATACCAAGCCAATGCCAGCATTGCTTACGAGTAGACCGTCGGCCTCAAAGGTATGTCCCAAGGCCGAAAACTGCTCTCCTCATGGGCCCTCAAGAATTCCAGGCAGCCTCATTCATGCAACTTGAAGCAAAGGACGTCCTCCATGGATCTTTCAGCGCAGGCACCCCGCGCAAAGCTTCCCAGCCTGCTTGCAGCTGAGCGGCGTGATTAACATACGTTCATTCTCCACATGAATCGACTGTCTTCATTCCAACCAAGGCTTTTGAGCACGCGCCTTGTCTAGGCATGAGTTGTGGCTCCGCTGAAATCAGCCTCCATCAAGTGGCCGTGGCCTGGGTTTGCTCCAAGGCTTTGGTATCCTGTCCTCTGCACGGATGAAGTTTGCAAATAGACAAGCCAACCTACCCTACAACTTCCTTAACTTATCGCTATGATTTTGGCTTGCTCCTTTTCAGCTTCACAGACATGACTACCGAAAAGAAGCAGGAGCTCGTCTCCACTTCAAGGCATGGGTTGCTGCTGTCCCAGGGCCCTGCTTTGGCTGCGCCAGGCGAGGCTGGGCATGGCACACCTTCCACACCTTCAATTGCACCTTCAAATACTTCAATTCACGGCTTTCCATCTGCCTGTTGGACGATCATGCGCACCGATGCGGCATTGGGAAAATCTCCCGGGAAGTGCGAAGTCTGGATTGCTTAAAAACCATCAGGGTCCACAGGGGCTACTTAGTTACTGCGCGCACTTGCATGTAATTAATCCTAGGGGCCCAACTCAACTGACCTGCTGCGATTTGGCAGGCACTCAGACAAAATATTGGAGCAGCTTAAAGGACAAGCAAGCACGGGATCCGTAATCTGATGCTGCTTGACAGAATTTCAGATGCAAACATGCGCACTCTGAGCACTTTTCTGCCGCTGCGGCGTGCTCGCAGGTTTATGGTGAGGTACATGGCAGGGCGGAGCCACTCGCAAGGCTTCTGGCTGCAATGGTCCTGTACGGCCATGAGCCAGGGACGGCTATCATGCACACCCTCATTGAATACTTGACGCAAGGGCTACCGCGTGATGCAGCGTAGCAAGTTGAGGACGAATATTTCTGCGACAGCTGCATAAGCTGATGGGAAGCAGCCCCGTTCTTTGCAAAAGCTATCTGTTCTTGTGCCACCCCTTGGGCAGTGTGCAGCACAGCTATGCTGGTTCTAGGTGTTGACGGCGGGGTGTTGGTTGTGAGGTTGAGTCAGGGTGACCTGTGCTCCAGCAGGCGGACTGGACTGCCACTTCAGCTCTGCGGAAGTCACTCTGGCACCCCTGGCATCGGGGCCTTCAACCTCAGCAGCACGCTCTACAGATTTGTTGGCGCATGAACGCTGAAACTGAGCCAGGCTAGCCCTCCGATGCACAGCAGCATCGGCTTTTGGATCCCCCACCGTCGGACACATACATCAAGCAGCTATGCCCTTAATGGGCTGTTGAGGCACATCGCGGACACTCCCCAACTGTCTGCACAAAGAAGGCTCCAAGCTTGGGATGCTAAACATTCATTGTTGTTGCAACTTGCTGGTGCAACAGCTGCATGGTCCATATGTGCACACCCCTAAATCACTGCGGGCCCACTGTCTGGCCCTTTCCTACGAAGTGGGATCTCCACCAGTCAGCTGCGAAGGGCTGCATAAGATTAGACCAGAAAACAGTAGCTCCACTGTAATGAGGTGCAATGACGTCATTCTCTTGCCCGGTGCTGCGTGACCAGAAGGGTCCACAAAAAGAGTATGAGAACAGACCGCTGTCTTCACGGCCCATTCACAATCTTGCCATCCCTATCGCTTGCGAGCTGGCTCACGACATTTTGTCGGTAAGTTGGGAAAAAGGCAAGCTAACACCAGGTCTGGTGCGCCGGACAACAGGGGGAACCATCACACATCAAGCTTCATCATCTTCATACTCCTCGTCGCTGTTGTGAGCCGGCATGACCTTTCTTCTGCGGCTGCATGAAGCGAGAGGTTCTTGCTGCAGCAATGACTTCAAGTTTGCCTGTGACTTCTATGTAAGTTAGGATTTTTGAGATGCTGGCTGAGATCCGGACATGAGTGTCAACACAAACCTGTCCGGAACATCTGCGGGCTTGGCTCAGGGTAACAAGCTAAGACACGAACTAAAACAGGGTCCTGCAGACTCTCTACCATGTCTGCAGTCTTGTATGGCAGGTTGAATGGTGAGAAGAAATAGGTGTGGAGACATCCAAGCATGTCATCCTGCAAGCTTTCTTGCAGTGTCCAGCCGCTAGTTGCCCACATCATTCCAGTGCTAGTGAAGATTTTGGCGACGGTCACTGTTTTCACTTCCCCGCCGGTCTAATAGTCTAAGAACTCATCATGCTCTTCAGGGGAAGCAAAAGGATGAAACAAGACTAGGACCACTGAAACACACATACACAAACGTAACGAAATGTGCTTCTGAGAAGCGCAGGCCTTGTCTCCAGTCGAAGCTCGGCGCTTCCGCTTGGCTTCTGGAAATTGTTCTGCTCCTTCCCTGAGCTGTTCAGGGGCTGTCGGAGCTTGACGTGTGGCGCACATCAAGGAACATACTGCTATCAAAGTTGACCCAACGTAGCACGCTGGGCATCCAACTTCCTTCCCGCAGCCTGTGAAGCCAATCTAGCAAACCGCTCTGGATTTCTCAATGCTTCGCCTAACTGGGATGAGACCAGTAAACCTCCCACTCTGCAGAAAAGTTGCTCCAACAGGTGGGTGTAGTCGGTGTAGCTTCTTCTCCTTAAATTGAAGCATCAACCAACGCACAGCTACAAACAAGGATGCGAAGCAGCCTAAGCAACTATATGTGGAAAAGGCACTTGATGCCACGGCTGAAACGACTCCAATACGCGCTGCCACTGCACTTAGATTTGAACTTCCTCTTTTTGAACTTGTTCTTTTTTGCTATCTGCTAGGCCCAGAACAACATGACAGTTCGCCGAATAGAGTTTGTCTCGGCTTGGCCGCGCCTGTCCAGCCCGTCCAATGACAAAACGCTCAAGACACGGCTGCGGATTCCCTTAGCATTGGCGGCAGTGGCCATCAGCAGCAGCAGCAGCAGGCCGGCAACACCAAAGTTAATGACTGTGGCTGGGGCGACTATGCAGACTAGCTGCTTTGCTCTAGGAGGGTCACCGATTTTTTACCGGACCAGTTCAAGGTTGGTGGTCTGGAGTCTGGAATTCATATAGAACAGGCAGGGAACGAAAATCAGAAGGCAATCCAATCGGGGTAGGAAGGGGTGGGATTAGGGACACAAGACCGGATGCAGAGGTTCTGTAACGGGGGGCCATGATGCCAGGCTCCAGACCAACAAGTATACCCCCCCTATTTGGATCACAGCGACACTTTGTGGATGTTGGCAAGGTGACATTCCATAAACCTGCATTGGCCCCATGTATGCATGTATAAGTATAGGAAAAGATGTACGAAGCCCAAACTGCAATGACGGTACCCAAGCTTTCTGAGTTTGGGGCGTCAGACCGACAGCGAAAAGCGGGCCAAAACCATGCCAGAAGCATCCAGAAACGACCACTGGCTCCATACAAACATACAGATGCATATGCCTTGTAGCTTGTAATCAGGAGCAACTGCTGAGGTACCAAGAGGCCTTCCAGTAAAGCCCGACACTAGGGAAACCTGAGACACAAAGCTTGAATCTTGTCAAAGGATTTTTCTTTCAATAACAAAGCACCGGACCGATCCTGAAGCAAAGGCAAAGAATCCGCGAATCCGAATCTGCGAAATCGCGAATCCAAGAATCCAAATCCATACAACCGACGCGGCCAGCTGCCAGGATAGAT